TCAGCTTATCGAGAAATACTATTATAATTGCTGAAATGACCAACACCATCATCTCTTTTATCGTACAAGTAAGTTTTAAAACCCTAATCATTGCTAAAAACAGATTCATTGCGACAAGAATTCAAAACAAGCATTATAAGCGAATTTTGTTTCAAGCAACTAACTCGTTTTGCAAATATGCGGTCTTTCTCAGATTTCAGGAAAATCATACTGCATTTATAAGTTTTCGAATCTGCTTTAAATATCAAAATTCTTTCATTTTGCTTCCAAAGACTGCTATCCTCAATATAAATCGATTTGTAACTCAATCGAAATTGCTTGTGAACTAGTCGTAAGATGTGAGGTCACTCAAACAATCATGCATGAGGTGTTCTAGATTGATTTCACACCAAAGTTGGATATCCAGTCACTCGGTCATTCATAGGTAGAACAGCAAATCTCTTGCAATTCACGATCAACACATCAGCTGTTCATTGATTGCCAAAAAAATAAACAATAAATCAAAACAAGATCCTGTAAATAGTCAAGCTTCATCCCAGCTTGCAAAAAGCTTATAACTCACTATCAAAAGTTATTTTTACCTGACGGTATCGTCCGAGCAACTCGTCCGCCGCAGAAGGGCGGAGCTTTGAGCGAACACGTTATTGCCAGTTCATGACCATTGGTACCAGCTATCGTTCATCTTGACATATACCCAATATTAAAACTTGCGGAAAACCCTGTTAAAGAAGAAGCAATAACCCAAAACATCACAGCGTTCTTCTTCAAAATTGTCTTTTTCTGACATATTATGTTCCTTTATGAGAACTGGCAGGAATTTCAACCATGGATAACTAGAAAATTTTCGTGGATTATTTTGCAACTCAAAAGAGTCCGTAGGATCTTCAGTGCTGAGAGATGTTTTTGACAAAGACAAACAAAGAAGCACAGAGAACAGAAAAGCCTCTTTTTAACCTCGCTTCAGTACATGTGTGCATGCCTATTTACAAATTACGAAAAATTTACAGTTGACGCGAGCAGTGAGAATCTTGCTTTACTCTAGCATTTCCAACTCTGTACTAATTTATTGCCTCTAATCGCAAGTTATCGCTTGTAGATTTATACAAAAAATGATCTTCAACAACAAAATTTATTAGCAAAAAAAATGAGATTGAGAAATGGAATTAACAACACTATATGCACAAGCTTTTCATGAAAATCCATAAAATTGAGCCTGTTGCACCATTCCGCAACCAATAAAACGCCTAACTTGAACTGCTCATTGTGGAGATTTTCTTGCAAGCTGTTTCTTGAGCGGGAACGTATCTCGGCCCCCTGGGAGTCTTAGGCCTGCAATCTCGTTAGACTGAGAAATTTATTGTTTTGTGTGTTGGAAAGGCCAAGGAAAGCGCTTTCCAATGATGCGAACAGTATCTTGCTAGAGGTGAAATTCTCTTGAAGCCAAACATAAGGCAAAAGCATCAGACAGAACTTATGCAGCTGCAGTACTTATCTGTGCTGCCCACTCGATCAGCGGCTTTATGCATTGATTCCTCACGAACACTACGAGAAGACAAAATTGTTTACATGCACTTATATGACAACAATGAGTACATTTAAGCTGCTGCACGACGAAGGCGCAATCTTTGGGCGCAAACGTGGCTTTATTAGCCGCAGAGCGTCAAGGCGCAGATTAACGACGATGAAGATACCGCGCGCGTGGCGTATTGCGCGCTCAAATACAACTTCTGCGCCTTCGTCATGCAATAGCTTTTCCATAAACATTAAAAATGGTATGCAAATGAAGAAATCTTAGATTAGATCTTTCACGCAAAATGTTGAGGATGTGGATTTGTGGATTTTGGAAAAATGTGGATTTTGTATTGTATAGCAGCTTCCCTAAAAAAAATCAGGCTCAATTGACATTCGGATGCCGGAGCGTTACAAAAACACGAAAAACAAGTTCCGCGAAAGACTAGCAGGAAGAAGAAAGAGAGAAATTTACAGCAACGAGTGCACACCTTATTCACACTAGATTAGACATCGAAATGATCATTATTTGATTACGATAAGATTTCTGTGATGCACATGGCAGCTACGCATGAATGACGTGGCATTTACGGAATAGGAAATCCTCGTGAAGTTCCCCCGTGTTAAAGTCCTTGAAAGTTTCTGCGTTGAGGAATTTTAAGAAAAAATCACCGGGAGGTTCCGAATTGCGTTGCCCCTGACGTCAAAGTTCCCGAGAAATTCCCATTTTTGCGCTTCCAATCACCTCTGTAAATGAAACCTTCGGGAAGTTTGCCAGAATCGCTTGTCCGGAAGTTTCCGTAAATCGTTTGAGCACATTAGTTAACTGTATCGTAAATCACAGTCTGCATCATTTTAGCTTTAGAAAATTTTAACTTATCTGTGAATGGCCTGCTCCACGAGATGGACAAGTTGAAATGCATGTCGTCGTTAATATGGCACAATCATTTCCAACTCTTAGCATTACAAGCAGAAAAAAGTTTTTCGCAAAGTTTGCATGAAATGAACCAATACAATCGAGCATTCGAATACATGGGAGAAAAGAGCAGTTTGTTTACAGTGCTTTATTGTGCTGCTTCGCACCTATCTCCATGTTCGAGAAGCTTGTTTTGAGGGATGAAGAATTACAGTAAACATCGTCTCAGTAAAAACAAAGAAAATTGTGAGAATCTAAAAAAAGATACATAGAAAAGATTCCCATTGCGGTGTACTGTTTATCAAATGGCCTTTATTCCACAATTATTCGAAAAATTGTTGCAATCATACAAAAGTCAAAATTGAGCCTTTATTATAAACCTCTTACCTTCTAAGGAAATGGAATCTCAAATAACCATCATTTCAGAGTTTTTATCGCTGGATTATTGATTATGACTCATGTCGTACCTGCCGCTTGAGAAGCACCTGTTTTCAGGACATTCAGGCACGTATAATGCGGCTTATGCGTCATTGCATGCATGCAGTGACAGCTTCCTTATCGGTCTCCAGTGAAGTGAGAGAAGCATTATATGGCAAAGATCGATTAGAAACTTCAAGATAGGTTTTTTCAAATAAGGAGGGAAAGGACTGAGATGGAAAAAGCGGCACATAACATACAAATCATACAGATTAAAACATTTCTTTGTCTAAAAAGAGAAAAGGAGGATGAACAAATGTAAAAACGGTGAAAGGGAGGATACAAATATAAAACGATTAAGACTTCAATCGATACATTGTTAGCTTTGTTGCTATGCTAACGAGGTTTGGTGAAGCGTTTTATAAGTGCGGCCTTATGTTTCGACTTATCGTCGTCTTCAGATGTTTCACCCCCGCTTCACGGATGATGCACTGGTGGTACTTTGCAACCGTTTTGACGTATTATTAGTGCCCCTAACACGTCAGATGTAACGGATATGGACGAGGTATACAGTCAGTACTATAATCGTCGGATACCACTTGACAATGCCACCAAATACCAACTGCCACGCAGGTCTTTAGAGTGACGGAGTTGTGCACGAGGAGATGTCACCTGAAACTTGGGTAATTGAACCTTCATTAACAGATAAAAAATTCAAAACGATATTGCAAGCGAAATATAATACCACTTAACATGAGATACTTATTATGGCAAAACGTTAATAATAAAATACGATTGATTTTTGGCATAGATGAACTGAAAGTCAATGTGACTATAGCAATGATACTGAGTAAACCTAGAAAGCAGGACTAACTGCACGAAGCAAACGATGAACAGTGACGCGCGATTCGTAAGAAAGAGATTACCAGCTGCGAATTTCTCGCTCCTTTTTATACAAGCAGCTGCAATCTAAAGCATGTAGAAAAAGACTAGCTGTTGCGCTTGAACACTTACATTGCAAGTAAGATAGCAGAATATACGAATTATATGATAAAATATCGGTTGAATTTCTGAACGGGTTGTACAGTACCACCATGCACCATCGGTGAAGCGGTGCTAAGGTCTATGAAGAGACGATAAGTTGAAACCTAAGGCCACACTCATAAAAGGCTCCACCAAACCTTGTACTGGCAGAGCAAGACTGATATGATCATAAGACATGCCGAAGTTTCAAGAAAAGAAGACAACCAAACAGTGACTATTGGATAATGAAGCACAAACGCCTACAATCTAAGATGTCATCTTCGGTTTCCACCATAATTTGGTTCAGATATCTATTTCTCTGAGTTTAAGCCCTTACATCATTGAACAAAGATAACATAACGCCTCAAATACCGAGGCTGAGCTTCTTTAACAACGCTGTAGATAGTTTGTAATTTTCTGTGGAAGGTTGCATTGTTGTAAACTGCACATATCAACTGTATCCTTTTTACTTCTTGCCCTAAGCCTACGATACCGGTAAATGAACATGTGCAACTACAAAATCGCGCTATGATGCTAGGGAAATGTGTGGAAATGTAGAATTTTGAAAAGTCTGACATATTAGACGCTTTCTTTTTAAACATTTTTAAAGGAATGACGTCAAATGTTCAAGTTGCAGGCGACTTTTGCTTTCTGAAGTTTGTGATGACGTTAGGTGATTAGGTTGAAATAAGTAAGTTTGCATGCAGAATGACAAGAAGAAGCCGTTCATTTCCGCATATCAAAGTAACGTTGCAAAAAAACTCAAAAGCTTTTTTAAGATGATTATGTGGCGAATCACGTGCAATTGCCACACTGACTCACCATGTTAGCAAAGTATCGTGGCTGACGTCTCTTATAATCTTGGCCCACACCTACACCTTGACCCACCCACCCTGGTCATCCATTTTCAAGGTGTCATTGTGAACATGCCGCGTAATCTGCGTAATCGAGGTTGATCTAGGCTAATTTTGTTTATACTCACACATCCTTTTCTCTTTATGAATTCACTTATATACATTCTTTGAAACACCTTTGTCTCTTGGACCAGTCCATCATCCTCCCTATTACATTTGGAGTTGATCAAGTCATTTCGCTGGTGGCGATATCATAATTATGATATCGATATCCAGAAGTTTGCATATCTCCAGTCAAACGGCTGTTGTAAATCATAGCAAGCCTGCTACTTTGAAGCTACTGTCATGGATATAGAAGAAGCAATGTGTGATTCATTTATCATTGAATTGTTTACCAAAGACGGAAATAGTCAGCAGAACAGCAACTCCCATTTCTGTGCGGATGGAGTACTATGGTTTGAAATTTTGATGAGGTGTGACAATAACTCTTTACTGCGAGCTGAGTTGGTAAGCTCTATCAGCTTTTATTCAATAATGTTATATTATTTTGTTATTTTTTGAATATATCCTGGATAGGATTCGCCTGTATGAACGGTATCTTCGTTGTGCCTTCCAAGGTTACCGATTTTACAGATCAGAAGAACAAATGCAAGCCTCTGTGCGGAGAGTGTAGCACTGGTACATATAAAGCAGAAAGTCTGTTCGCTTGTACAGAAACTGTACGTTTTTTATAGACTCAAGCAATTGAGCTAAAACTTTGCGCGCATACTCAGATAATCGCGGCCAGGCGGCCATGCGATTTACGGGCAAGGGGCACGGGAAAAATAGTTCGCTGATTTTTTGCGGTCCGCTTGCAGAAATTTAGAAAAATGTTGGCCGAATTTCAAACGCATGCTCGGGGAACAATTGTGTTTTTTTCACAGATCAGTTGCGGCGCAGTGGCCGCATTCTTGCAGACTTCTTGCGAGTATATGCAAAACTATTGAGGGCCACACGGTCTTTTGTGAAGAACCGCACAGCCCGTAGGTACTTTCCGCTAAGAGAAAGCACCCAAATTCGAATAATTAAACAATCGATGACACCTCTGCCATGTAGAGTCTCACCTTTGCTCGGCGTACGCCCGAAACTGCTTAAAAGCCGTCCGAGCGCCAGCTGAAAATTTAACCAGTCCTCGCTGAAAGAAATTATTCGACGACCGCTTGCAGGAAATTCTGTATTACTGACCGCCGGCAGAACATGCGACAGCAAAGGAAGTACCGCTCGCTGAAGGTTTGGTCACGCCCCAAATTTCTGCTGACCGCCTGCCGCAAAGCACGAGTTTGCAACCGCCAGGCCAAAATGAAGCCGTTGGCAGCCTAGACCATGCGCAATAATCCGAAATCGTGTACGAATTTTGCTAGAGGTTGACCATTTGGCTCAATAAGAAAGAAGTAAAATTTAGAGGCAAGTCGAGATTTGGCGCCCTCAAAAATTCGAGCGAGTCGGTGTACGCAAGACTGCTGGGGACAACGTCAATGACTAACAGGGGAAGGATACTTGGATGCCGTAGCCATTCATAATGATTTGTATACCAAAAAATGCGCTTTTGAATGCTGGTTCGTAGACTGTCTTTCATATCTGCGAAACGATAATCTGAATGGAGTTATGATTTTTTTCATTAAAAAAATTGCGTTCCTGCGGAGGGTCAAAATCATCAATAAAAATATTTTCTCTCCTTTCCAAATGCAGAGTATGATCCAGATAGTCTAAATAAATATTACTACGTCTAAAATTTTCTTCAGTAGCATCAAACGGTAGGCTAGATCAAATCTGGTGATTTTTACTATCCAAAAGTAGGCTAAATTTTCAAGGAAAAAAGTTCATAACTTTCTTCAAAAGATCGTTTCGCAGATTTCGAGCACAGATTTAGAATCTGCATTCGAAGGCGCATTTTTTGGTATACAAATCATTAGGAATGGCCGCGGCATCCAACTATCCTTCCCTTGTAAGAAGTCAGAACCACAAAATTTCCCGAGCCTTTGCCTACTGAGGTTCGTTGATCTGCTAAACACGAATATCATACTTATTTGCTGAATCAACGTCTTTCCTTGTTTAAGGTGAACCTCATATCCTACACCCTACGGTATTCTTACAAAAAAGCCTTAGCACGCAATTTCAGTATCGTTTTCGTGATCAGCATGTCGGATAACCCACTGTGCCAAGTTCCAGCCAAAAGTGCTAAATTTTTGAATTTTTTCCTCCATACCATATAACTACCGAAACCCTCACGCGACGTAAGAATTTGGTAGAAGCTGCGCTTGTAGCTTACGTCACAGTCAACGTAGTGGCATAAATTGACTGCGCCGCCATGTTGAGTGTGAGGAAAGTTATCGAATGAGTTGCAAACTTAGTTTCCAACCTAATAATAGTAATCATGTTAGATTTGCCCAGAGCGAGACGTGAGCTGGGGTTCCACCATTTGACCGGCGAAGAAGCGGGCGGCAAGGTATCATTTGATCAGAAACTTGAAGACTTGAAAGCGCACTGCAGACAGAAGGCAATGCCGTGAAGTCGTAAAATATTAGAGCGTGCACGTCGCTTATACAGTGTCGTCTCGCACAAAGACACCCAATCAGATACAGAAATGAGAGTTATTTTGAGTTTTATTTGCATTCAAGCTCCTTTTTTTACAACTGACGCACGGTGAGTTGCTCATTAGACCACTAAAGATGTTCAAGAAAAACGACGTTTTTCAAGTTTTTTTTTCTTTTCTTATACTCGTATGAAAGTCATCAAAGTATTGGATGTGATGGATTGGCATTGATAGGTTCAATTGCATTTTTATTGGAACTTTTGCTTTTAGATGCCGCATAGTGACCTTTGCTTCTGAACTGCAGAAAATCTCAAGGTAAAGCAACGTTTCCGATATTCTCATCATAACCTATGGCAGCAGTTGAATAAATTAGATGCAAGATTATGACGGTGTTTTTTTCGGTTTAGTGATTATCTCACCGCTTTTTCATTTGTGAACGTTAGCCAGCTTGCAGCTCGATCATGGCGAACGATCCGATCCTAAACTACTGATTTCAGTGTTTTCCTTTGTGCCGCTTACAGAGAATCTAGAAAAAAAACTTTTTGTTACGTTTTTTATTCTCTCTCCGTTTCTTTTACTTCCAGAAACCCGATGGAAAAATGTTAAGAGGTTTATACAAGTTAGACTTCTTCTCTGCCAGCTTGTTTTAATTTAATATGTCTCCTTATGTCAGGATGTCAGGATGCACATCTAGCTGTTTTCGCCATCTTTCCCACCTTGAATTTTATGTTTGTGTAATTTATGCCTCCTTCCCCATTACGGTAAGGCCGCGCCAGAGCCTCGCGTCAGGTTGCGAGCTTATAATAAACATTCGGTTCGGCCTCATCGATCTCAATCGTCGTGGACGTTCGCTCAACAAACGCGTACACGTAACGGGCAGAAACTCACTCTCCATCTCAATAATCGTATATCTTAATCTCTAAGTCTTCATCATCCAGACTTAATTCTTCGAGATAACTAAAAAGCACATTTTCACAAGCGGCCTCCCAAGTATTTCAAAATTTTTTATAGCGACTTCCTCCTTGCCTCTTACGTGGAAGACTGGAGGATTCAGGCTGCACAAACGCTTGCGCACATCACTTATCCATTCAAGTGCCCTTGATCTTACCTACAATCTCACAGTTGACTAAATTGTGGAACTTGGCTACAAAGACAGCCGTTTCGAGGGTCATTCGACATTTCGAGCTTGTTCACAAGACTCCTTTTGTCGACTCCACCATATTTTTTAGGGTTGAAGAAACAGCGAAAAGGGAGTAACATTGTCAGCGTTGATCCATATGCGCACCTTCTTTTGCGTGTCTACTCAAAGCATACAATCCACTTTTGCTCGCAAGGCGATAAGGCATGGCCGCCACTTTCGTTTCGCGCTGAAGACTTTATGGCAGCCCGCTTGCTGCCAGTTCTAGCAAAGTTTCTCAGCGGGAAGAGAAAAGTGGCGGCGATAAGGCAACGGCGCTTTGGTGGGGCCGGCTGAGAGCCTTTGATGGTCTGAGTCGAGCAAGAGATTTTCCTTCGCGCCACTGCCGGCCAATGTTACATCTTTGGAACTTATGTAATCTAGAGTTGCAGAATTCGAAAAAAATTTCGTAGAAGACTTTAACTTCGAAAATTAGATTCTTGCTGATGTGCAGACACTGAAAATTAACTTTTCCAGTTAACGACTATGACAGGAGATAATGCCTAACACCAATGACAGACGTTCGTCCCCTCGCGATACTTCTCATTTGCGAATCGCATGAAGCCAATTCTCAAACATGTCATTTTCTTGTCGCAGTCATCATCAGGGTTAAGCTTGGGGTCAGGCGCGCCCGACCTAGAAGGTCGTATTAGAGGTAGGACTGAGGGGAGGGGATAGTAATCAGAAGGGGATGCTAGACTGAGTGAGGTGAAGAAGAAGAGCGGTAGAACAGTGAATATCATTCCACCGAAGAGGAACTGGCTCTTAATTGCATATTGATTGACTCCACTAACGAAGGTTGCAAACGGTATGGTCACCAAAGAGGCTTGCTGTGTGAAGTGGGCAAGATTTGCGTACTCAGCATGCCAAATCCGAGCTCTACATATCACCATCTATCACATTTTCTAGTGTTTCGTAACGTCTAAGAAGTGTGATTTCCAGACATCATTAACTTGGTCAAGAAAGTAAAACAAGTCTCTTTTCTTGTGCTCAAACGAAGTAGTACCCTTTATCAGTCTATGGTAGTAAATTGGACCTGCTATCGCTTTCAAACAGGGGATCAAGAAGTGCTGCCAAAATTTCAATCATCGCGTCTCGCACCTTGAGTGCTTCAACTCCATCATCACTATGCTGAAACAAGTTCAAGTAAGCTCAGATACCTACTATAGAATCTGCGAGGTTTGTGCTAGCGAATCACATAAAGCTAGGGTGGAAAAGGTTCATCAGTTGTAAAGCTAAACGGGTCAGGCGCAACCCCTCAAAAGCTTAGGCCGCCTAAGCTTTTGTAGCCTTGCGCCTGACCCCCTTATGTCTTTGAAATCCAAACATCTCCCTATTTCTGGTATGAGTATTGAGCTCATAGCTTCTTCTTGCTACAGTGAAGATTTGGAGCCAAACACCCCAGCGTTAAAGAAATTATGGTCCTTGCAATAGACCCTTACACACCAAAGTCAACCGTCAAATTACGTGTGATTATAAAGTGCAATCACTCACAGAAAATCGCGCTTACAGACTCCAAAAATCCAAACACTCTTCAGAAAAAGATGGAGTTCTCTAGAATGTCGCTCTCTGAGGCCCGGAGGTGAAAAGGAGGAAGAAGGGGTTCGTTTGGGGCTTTCAGGAGGGAGGGTCGTTATAGAAGGACTTGTGTCTAACCTCTTGCTCAACTCTGATTATCATCGCGACAAGAAAATGACACTTGGCCTCCGGCCGTTGACGATTACTCTTCGATTGCGGACTACATCCTCTTCCGGAAAC